CTGCTCATTTTTTTTTTTTTGTAACTAACTCTGTCTGATGTTGTGTTGATATGCTCTTTAATGAGTGCCAAATTAAATGCTAAAGAAAGCCTTGGTGACAACACCACAGAAGTGGAAAGGATATTGTAAATAAATAGTTTGACACTTTGGAAAATAGATTTATTCGCTGTCTTGCAGAGAGTAAGATGAGAAGACCGATAACACCTCCGTGTCTGTACAGTGAATACGAAGCTAGCTTAGCTTAATGTAAAGACTGGAAAAAGGGGAAACAGTCGGCCTGGTCCAAATCTAACAACCTCCGAGGCCCACTAACCTTATATCTGCTTTATTTAATCTGTACAAAAACCAAAGTTAAAAAACAATGGTGGTGGTTTTATGTGCTAATTTATGCTAAGCTAAGATAGCTGTCGCCTGTCTATAGACGTACTGCTTAACAGGCATATATGACAGTGGTATCAAACTTCTCATTGAACTCTCTGCAAAAATAGCGAATCAGCATATTTCCAAAATGCTGAACTCTCCCTCTAGTAGGACAACATGGGGGAAAGACCCCAAAATACATCAATATGTAATGCTCTCATATGTAAGAAATGTCTGTTGCAGCCATCTTTGATTTACCGTGAATTGTTGAAACCATTACCTGATGTTTAATGTCCCAGAGGTGCAGTGGCCACTTGACATAAACCTTGATGAGTAATTACATTGCTGCCCTCATATGAACCTTCATACTCTTTGGACTGTCCTTGCAATTACATTTACTTCTATGGCTTGTTTTAGTTCAGTCGCATTATTTATGTAAGAGAACTTTTCACTCGGTGTGAACCCTAACTAAATGATCTAAGCAAGATGAAGAAGATGTAAATGAGATAACTGATTTTCTTTCGTGATTATATTCAGAATCGGCCCATGGAGAAATTGAACAACCTTTGCACCATGATACATTGCTCTGTGTACAGTTAGTTGACAGTGCTCTTTGGCAGTGCTTTTCTGTATTGATTTGTTCTTCACAAGACGATCTTAACTGGCCAGCAGTGATGATTCAGACTCTGGAACCTTATCATTTAGTGAATGCTTTATCACTAAACTGACTGTGTAACTTTGATCTAACAAGTTTACTGTATCAACTCCAACACTCAGGTCTACTGAAGCTTATCAAAATCACCAAATGTCTTAGTACAACGCAGTATGTTGTGAACACATCAACGTCTTAATCTCTCCTAGAGCTGAATGTACAATGGACAAACTGTGATTTCCCAACCGAGCCCTTTCGTGTGAGGAGCTTTTCTAGTTCCCGTTCTAATGCTTTTATGGAATGCTGTGGTATGTTCTTGTATAAGTTGCAGGAAAAGCTTTGATGTGTTATTCCTTCCCTCTACAGACTGAGCGAACATGCTGCCATGTGCCTTAATTAATATGCCACTCTTAAATCTGGACAGCGCAAGTGTCTGGATTATTGCAGTATCAGCAATGTACATATTACGATGACTGTGCCATTACAAGTGTTTTTCTCTTCTGTAAATCAGAGAACTTAGAATGACAAAGTTGCAATAAAGTTTACATTTTCTTACTTCACTTCCTCAAGTCATTGAGTTCATGCTTATTTCATGAGGATTTTATTTTATATATTAGCAGCAGGAAGGCAGCAGGAAGGCAGCAGGGCGGAGACCACCCTTGTAGCGGAGAAGACAAGGTTTGAACCCTTCATGTCAAAAAACACCTGGACAGCTCTTTATGAGATATGTAAATATAGAAAATGATTAAATGAAGGAAGTCATTGGTAAATCAATTATTTAACTTCTGGTATCTATTGCATCCATGTTCGTATCCACTTGCATATGCGTGCTCCTGTGTGTGTGTGTGTGTGTGTGTGTGTGTGTGGGGTGGTGTGGGGCTCTTATCATTAACACTTCTCACTCTTCCTTCTCCTCGTGTCAGAAAGTCTATGTCTATATATCTGTGGGCACATCTCCACTAATTCCACTTAAACCTAATAAAAGTTATTTATAGCTTTGGTGAGCACGCGGTGGAAGAGATTCTCAGGGGAATCACATTCAGCCCCAACCTCCGTTGAGCTTCTCTTCCTTACCTTCCTCCCCTGCTGCCCCTTGGCTGAGCTCCACCTTGGGGCCCCCCACGCAGGCCCCCTACTCCTTTAGCGCAGTTAGACAGGTGCAGCTGGCCGCAGACATGCACGGTCCCTCCAGGCCAACCACCAAGCTCACCATCTCCGTTTACACCCTCGCCTTAATCACTTAGATTCATATGGCACTTTTTTTTTTTTCTTTTCTTTTTTTTTAAGAATCTGGGCGCAGTTCTCAGTCAGATAATATTCACAGACATACTAGTGTGGCTCCATGGTTTGTGAGGTGATGAAGTTACAGTGCTGAAGAGGACAGCCGAGGTTAGAGAGTTAGAGTTGGAGAATTGTGTATGCAAAACCTTAAGTGACCTTCAACATTCGAAATATTTCATTTTTTCAGTTAATAGAGGTTCACATAGTTTAATTCTACATGTAATATATATTCTCCCTAATCTGTGCACATAAATGAGTTTTATATATGTTTGATATTGATCCTTTATTCTGAACAGTGGATCTCCCCCTGTGAGGTCCACTTTAATGTGAAATCAAGGCATAATAACACAGTTCCTTCCAGAAAGCCTGCGGTTAAAAACATCAACCCTTAAATTAACATTTAGCAGCAGGACACAGCGGTCCAATTATTTTTTTCCTCATTCACTGAATCAACATATAACATTCAACCCAATTAGTTTGGGGCATAACAGAGCCTTACGTAAGTTGTCCAGCAGTGCAGGAAAAACAACCTGTCCTGCCAAAACCCAAATCAAGAATGACACGAATGATCTACATACAGTAGCTGCAATGAGAGCAATGTTATTCTCCACTGTTCACAGCTACCGGCGATTACCAGCGGACAAAATGGGAACATCCCTACTCCTAGCTGCGTGAATGAATAGCTTATAAAACAGGATAGGCAACATTGGCTCCCCTCTTTTCTTTGAGGGTGTTGTGGAGCAAGTGGCACATGAATTAAACTGGTGACAAGCGCAGGCCGCAGATCTCTCCCAAAGTCTACTTTTAGAAAGTGCAAGTCAAGGTTTTAGGTTTCAGCGTCTGCTCTTGAGTGAATGGGTTTTCCAGCTTGCCAATTAGGTGTACAATTTAAAGGCTTGTTGTCCAGAAGCCAGCCGGTTGAAGACTGTTGATTACGCTGTATGGATTTGTTATAGTATGCCTGTCTTGTGTTTCGAAGAGAGAAGATACTGGCTTTCTCCTTTGTGTAAATACGAATGAAAAATTTCCTAATGCACAAGGCAAGACACACTTCATGCTTTTGATAAAGACATCAAAAGCAAATATATACAAAGGGCTGGCCATGAAAGTGATCCTTTTTCTGAAGCAGCCAAACTGCAGGTTCCCAGAGTAGATGTGGAGTAAGCAGACCTCAGGAATGCAGTCTGGAAATGTTAGCCTGCTATCGGAAGCCCAGGGCAGGGTGACATCGTGGGGCGGGTGTACCATTGTGGATGTGTGCGTATGTGTGTGTGTGTGTGTGTGTGTGTGAGTGAGAGAGAGAGAAAATGGGATGGACAGGAGCTAGAGGGAAACTGTCACATGTAATCACTTCCTGCCTATGTCTTCCTTGGAAACCTGTCACCTTTCAGTGCCTTTAGACATCTTCTGTTTAGTTTAAGTTAATAGCTGAATACGCCACGAGCAGAGGGACTTATTAATACCCTCAGAGACTGAACTGGCTTCTCGGTGACGTCCACTTGAGCCCGACCACCTGGCGAGAGGGCCGGCTCCAGCTTCCCTTTAATTAAGTAAACACTGAGCTAAGTAAGGAAAGATCTAATTTTCACATCAGACCGGTTTCAGGAGGTTTACATATTGCCAGAACTAAAATAAAACCTGATAAACATAACTCTGCCAATAAGTCAGCCTTCAGATATGGATGAGGGTTGAACACCCAAATTAAATGCCAATAAGACACAGCATGATCTTTGTGCTTCACTGATGCCATTTGAAATTTCTTATTCTCCATTGGTTTTCAGGGCATTAGATGGTGAGATTATCTGAGCTAACAGTAAAAGAATACGTGTCACCAAGCTAAACACCTAAAAGTTTGGGCAGCAACTGATGCAGGTCTCTGGATGGCAATGTTTGTTAGTTGTTGGACTACGATTTTGATATAGACTCAAATATCTCAACAATTATTAGATGGATTGGATGGAATTAGATGGAATTTACAAGACAGTCATGGTCCCCAGAGTGCAATGTCACGTTGGTGATCCCCTAACTTTTCCTCTAGCACCACGAAGTTGACATTTTTGGTATTTAGTGAAATGCCTCATTAACTATAGGATGGATCAATGTGACATTTGTTAAGTCCCCCTCAGGATGAAATGTAATAATCTTGGTGATTTCTTAGCATTTCCTCTAGTGTAATTATCAGGTCATAATTTCAATTTGTCCAAAATTTTGGATAATAACCAGATACTTGAACTTTGTATTTAGTGCTAACTAATGATAGATGGTGAACATGGTAGCAATTATACCTGATGCTTTAGTTACGTTAGCATTTAGCTCAAAACACCGCAGTGCCTTATAAAGCACAGCTTCAGTCACTAGCATGGCTGTAGACCTTTGCATGTTTTCATTGTTCATCAATCCAGCAATTATTTTCCTTACCAATCACAATTTCCTAAATCTTCAGATTACTTATACTGTTCAACCAACAAACTAAAAAGCTATTCTGAAAACCATTAAATCACATTTCACATTTGAGGAGCTGAAACTGCAAAAATTGATCAATTATCAAAACTGTTTTTTTTTTTTTATCATTAGTTCTGTTAGAAAACTAGTTTCTGTTATCTTGGTGTTTGTAGTCATCACTGTGTTTGGCATTTATGGTGAATACAGGGATTTTAAATAAATTAAAAAAAAAAAAAAGAGATGACATACTCAGGAGAAGATACCGGTGTCTTGACATTCACTTTATTGTTAAAACTTGTTTTGGTATATCAGCTGCTTGTCTTTTTACACGTCTTTAAATTAAAGGCAAACATATACAGCTTCATCTTCAAAAACCATGCAGCAGTGTAAACATGAGGTCTACCAAGATAAAAAGTCATACAACTACATCATACTGGCAAAGTCTGTGATAACAAATTTGTCATGTCAAAAATAAGGAAGCATTTTGTCTGTTTCACTTCTTAATATCAGCAAAGCTTTAACTTAGTGCTTATCATTAGCCGCATTCAGCTGGTAAATACACAAGTCTCAAACAGTTTTTTTTGCGTGAATAAAGAGGTTAAAACATGGGGGAAAAAAATAAATAATGTTGAACTAACAACTTATACATAATAACAAAAATGCATTCCTACACACAACAGTCCCTCTGCCCTTCATAAGCATTAGTCCAAGAGAAACAAAGATTTCCTACTGTATTGGAGAGACACAATAACCCACTGAGCGAATCTGCACCACATCGCAACAAGGCAACAACAGCTGCAACACCACAACAACTTGACAGTTTGCTGATAAAAGTTTGTAATTTGTCTTGATCTGACAAAAGGCTACCAAGGTTATTAGAAATTGGTTAGTTTGAACTAAAGGGCCAGTCATGGAGTGCACCACAGGGTTGAAGTACAGTTAACCCACTCTTTCAAAACACAGGAAACTGGAAAAAAAAATGTCACCCATTGGCTACACACTGGGTCACACTCACCCCAGACACACACCCTGTCCTGCCAATCGCTCACTTCAACAGCAAACTTAATGTTCTAGTACCCACCGACTCATCAGGGTCACATGACATTGTACTGCATCTCAACTTCTACTGTTGCACATATACACGCAAACATAAGCACTTGCAATGCTGCAGCCAGCAGCACAGAATACTAGGCCAAGTTAGTAAAACCTGAGTAAGAAAACAACAAACACGCACGCATAAACATGTTCTGCCTTTGTCGCTATGTCATAAAATCATAGCAGCTAAAAAGAACAAACACACTGGCTGTGCACTTGACTGAAAGGCAATGGAGATCCATTGGTGGACAGCAGCAACAGTTCTCTGTTTTTGTATTGGTATCCAGAATCACAGATCCAGATCAACGGTGAATATTTATAATTCTTTTAATTATAGCTCAACAGATTTACTCCTACAAGCTTCAGCAGGTATAATATTACTGGATACAAACTGTCCACCCTAAAGAATCAAGATTCAGTATTTAAACTAAGCCATATGAAATTAATGGACACAACACAACACACAATTTCTTATGATATTTTACATGAAGTGTGCTGATTGGACCTGTTACACCTGACTCAGGTGCTGCAACTGAGGAGACACTTGAAACAACAAAAACATATTATAGGATTTTTTCCTAAAATTGGGACGAAGGCTTGTAAAAAATATTATATCATCTGTTAACTTAAAATGTGATTCAAATATGCAATGATGCTACTGAACAATCCTTTAGCTGAAATGTCTCTTACTGTGGTAATACAGACTTGATCTTAGACTAGAGCGGCACTAATTTTCTCCTCCCTTTCTGCCCTTTTTACATTAGTGGGTCACTAAGGCACAGGTGTGTACAGTCCTGTAAATAAAAACTTTGATCTGCGCACCACCTGAACCCATTACCTCCACAACCTCACCCTGCCTATACATACAGTACACATAAATGCCTCACAAACATTGACAGTAATGTTTCCAAAAACCTCTCAATCATCCTTACATCTGTAACATCAATTAACTTAAAACAACCCAAAATCCAACATTTGATTCTGTACAAGCTTCAGGAAGAATATATGCTTTGCTAAAAACAGCATCTTGTGTTTTTCCATCCACGCAGAGGGCAATCACTTGGCTTTCTTGTCAAGCTGGAAGAGATCCAGAATATCCAGCATGGCCTGTTTGATGTTGGCACCAAAACGGTGCGAGTCCTGATGGAGCAAAAAGAAGGAAACAAGATTTCAAAAACTGTCTTCGTGAAATAATGGACATAAAATAATGGACATTTAGTGAAAAACTGGTGAACTTACAGTTTCTGGGCTTGAGTGTTTGCTGGAAATGTGGAAGTTGATGAGGTTCTCACCAACAATGATGTAAGAGACACCATAACCATCATCAGCCACCTTAGGACACAAGAGGAAAATAAAAGAGCGATGAGTTGTTTGACAAGAACACATAACATGTACATTTGGATTTTTTATTTACTAAATCAAGATGTACATAAAAACAGGTGGATGGATACATACTTATTGTAACATGCTAACCCTTAGTGACACATATTTATGATAGATGGACTGATCCATATGGGACATGACTGCACAAGTTTATGTTTTTCAGTCTTCAGTCTGTGTTTAAAAGTTGATGGATAACTCACCGGACCAAATCCACCCCCAGAGGACACATACTCTGGGTGTCTGACCAGGTCAAACAGCTCAACCTGCTGCAGAGGAGTCTGACTGGTGGACAGCCTCCACGGCTCGGACAGCACCTAAACATAAAGGGAACATACATTTCATTCACTAGTCGAAGAAAGCCCACGTAACATTTCTTTTCTATCAATAAGACTCTTTAAAAATTGCAGTAGTTATTTCTTCACTTATTGAGTCCTGCACAAGATTTATTTTAACCAGCTATCACTTCTTAACTCAGCCCGATTTGTTTTTAAAAAAAGGGCCCCTTAAGTCTAGACCAGAGTTAGACACAAACCTTGAAAACATCCTTTGTACTGCAAACCTCTCAAATTTTCCTCACTGTATGAGGTAATGAGCTGATGCACTCAGTGACATAAGGCACTTATTGTAAAGAAATAAGAAGAAAGGCCCTGGATTCATATGGACAATATGACAAGCGTCAACTTGACAACCTTATTAGCAGAAATCTCCCAACAACAATTCATACCTCTTTGAGAAAAGCTGAGTCTTCTCCTAAATATTTGGAAACCACATAGAGACAGAAAAGGTGGCGATCAATGCCGTCTCCCGTCATAGCCAGGCGGTACATGTTTTGATGCTTCTCTGCTGCTAGTTTGAGCAACTTGAGGCGCTCGTCTCTCTGAGTGGACAGGAAAGAGACAAAAATGAAACATGGCAAACAATTGATAGGTACTAGTTGCATGATTAACAACAACTGCAACTGTTTAGCCTTACTGTCTCATCTCTGATCATGGAACGGACAAAGGTACATGTTTCCATCGTGCAGGAGCGCACAGTTTCTGTTCGGCCCTCACGGAACAAACGCGTCATGGAGGCTTCGTATGTCAGGCAGAACTTCCCTTTGTCCTGTTGACAGAGAGTTTGGGTCGGCAAAAAAGAGACACCACAGGAAGTTGTTTTTGCAAATTGTAAGTAAGTTTACATTAGATTATTGACTTTGATGATTGATAATTACAAAAAAAGTCAGTGACTTTTAGGAGGCTTACATTTACACTTACAATGGATTGACTAAATAACACAAGCACAATGAAATGCAGTATTTAATCTGCAATCCATAACCTAAACAGGACCAGGAAAATACAGCATCAAACCACTGCTTTCATTAAATCATTTATGGACAGTGTCTGACAGTCTTCTGGGGTATGTTATTCAGTCAAGTTGTGACTGCCCTCTGCTGGGATTTATGAGCAGTGTGCTTTATCGGTTTTCTCCATTTCTGCTCTCCCTAAAGCTTTGGCATAACATTTTATCCTCAATAATAATATTAATATTAATAATAAATATCTACATAACAAAAAAAAATAGTTAATGAAAACAGTAATCTTCTGCAATATAAAATGCTTAAATTTATAAACCACAAACAAACTGATAGCTAACATTAAGTGTGATAAATTATTTCTCACAACCCTGGCAAAACTAAAGGAAAAAACAAGGTTAAATATTTCAATATTTTAAATATTTCACTGCTGGCATATTTAATACACCTAAAGTGTAACATGTAACATAAAGTAAAACATGTAAAGGTCACTAAATGCCAAATAAATAAATGTGTACAAGAGTTAAGAGCAAATTACAAATTGTTTTGAGAAACCAGTGAGATGAGTGTACTAACCCTGTAATGGGCCAGCTGTAGAGCGATCTGGATGAAGGCATCGGGACTGGTGCGGCACTTCTTAATCAGACCCTTGCCAAAGTTAGTGAAGGGGAAAATGTGACAGTCCACATCATCTGCCAGATTCCTAGCTAATGTCAGAGAGCTCTGGATGGTTTCCTGGCACTAGAGAAAGGAACAGAGAGGTATGTTAGATAAAATGGATGTAGTATCGATGGAAACATATTCATTACTCTGCATTGGTATTAAGAAAGCTATTAACTTACTATTTACTAACTACTACTAAGCTATAATTACTTAAACTGACATAACTTAATTCCACACGTTTCAAGTATACACTACCCTGCAGGCTTATTTTTTCTATACATCTTAAATTTTAAGTAATAAAATATTAACACTGGTGCACATAGTTCAAGCTACCAGCAGAGGGAAGACAAGACTTCTGAATATCAAAATCTCAGGTGCAATCCTGTAGTATGAGAGATGTTGTAGCAGTCTGACCTCAGCAGTAAGATCCCACTGCAGCCTCTGAGGACCTGGCAGGTTGGGGTGGGGCTCCCCACAGCAGTGACCTTCCTCAGTATATCCCAGCTTAATAGGGTCCATGGAGAGCACATGCTGCAAAACAGTCAAGTTTTAACATGATGAGCTCAATTAAATGGTAGACAAGAAATGGATTGATTGCTCTTTAGCTTTTCTGTCAAAAAGGTTTAAGTGCTTTAAGTATAAATATTGTGCCAATCAGAAAATAAAAGCTCTAGACAGCTCTAGACAGCTCTTGATAGACAGGGTCTTTCCTGCTTAGAGAATTATAAGGCAGCTGCCTCCATCTCTCAACAAACTCTGACGGGTTATTTTCTAAGTGTTGCACTCAGTGAGTGTCTGTAATTTGTAACTGCAATTGCAGCATTACACAAATCTGGTGGCGCTGTATCACAATCAGGTGATTTTAATGCCACTTTTCATTCATCTTCCCCAAAGACATTTGGGGATAAAATTTTTCAATTGTTTAATTAAGTCTTTAAAATGTCAACGAATTTGTAAAAAAAATGCACAAGGTGACAGTTTATTATTGTCCTTATGGAAATTACTCAGGATTCACTAAAGAACTCATACAATATGTTGCTTGTAAAACGTGCTTGCTTGAGCCAGTTGAAAGCTCGGTCCACATGCCTGTGTGCACATGATCAGGATGGTACCACCTCGGCCTCATTTTGAGCCAGGAAAAAACCCCAATTTAGCTTGTGGGAGTAAAAGAAGGAAACCTGACTTTATGATAATGCCAAAAGAGAGGTCATTTATTCTAAAATAATTATGTGACAATGTGATAATTAGAAGCATCTTTAAACTAAACTGACGTACCTCCCACAAATGACCAATGATTGGAGCATCTGCCCAGGAATGCTCTGCGTTCAGCCCCATGGTGCCGTTCTTGAACACTATCAGGTTAAAGGATTTGTCAAACCACCTGAATAAAAACAAATAATTATCACCCTTAGTTTATTTATAAATGAACATGTGCCAGACACTCTTTGCTGATCAGCAACAAATTACATCAAGTTTATCTGTCCCACCTGTCATAGCACTTTCCATGGAGCAGGGACTTGGCATAACTGTCCAGAGACTTGACTGGATTGTCTTCCTCGTAGCGCTGCTCGGTGTCATCAAGGGTTACAAAGAAGGCCGCTTTCTCAATGGCGTCCAGAGATTGCTTGTTCTTACCACGGCCGAAGAAGGTTTCACGGGCCTTTGCCCATGGGGTCCTGCAGAATGTTAAAGAATAGGTAACAGGAAGCATGTGAACCTTTTCTGCTACTTTAGTCATTTCAGGCACACCTGAATCAGTGTATTACAAAAGTCAAACCTGTGTGTAAGTATCTCATCATCTGTATGAGAAAAGTGTGATGTGTGGGAGGGAGGTACAGTACTTTCATTGCATTTCTGTGGTCACTGCCACACCCTTTGCTAGTTTCAAAAACTAAAATCCCACATATCTGGACTGATATTATGGGAACTATATGAATTTAGCTTATTGCAGATGTCAGCATTATTGATACTGTATGTCTGAGGTCATTTAAAAACTGTATCATATAGTCTGTCCACTGTGTTTATTTTTCAAAATGAGCCGTACATATCTTGGGTACAGTTCTTTAATGTCAAATTTAAGTGATCTTTATAAAAAATGTTTTATGCTATATCAATATTTTAAAAACTGATTTCTGATCTGATCTTTAAAATATTGGATAACTCACCAGGTCAAATATTGATATCTGCCTCAAAATTGCTGTTTTGTTTTAGTCTGTTCTAACTCTGCCATATTAATCTATTACTGTGTTTACCTTCAGTAAATTAACACTGTAGAACTGCTGTCCAGAAAGCAAATCACTACCTGACTGAATAAACCTTGAAAGATCATTGCAATAAATTTCCATCTATGTATGTACAGTATTTCTTCACTGTCTGTTGTGTTACTACGCACTACACATGTAAATTCTGTCAATACCAGCTGCAGATTGCTCTGTTATACCACCTACCTGTCCCCTGCAGTAAGTGCAGCTAGTTTTTCCTCTGCTGGCAAGGGCTCCGACTTGTCTGACAAGATCCTCTCCATCTGCTGCTCTATCTCCCGTGGCAACAGCAGGCGCCCGTCATAAAACATCCACACCTTGTAGAAACGGCCCTTGTGGTACACAGCTATGTGTTTGCTCTCATTCATGTGCTGAAGTGTGTCTGGGAGAGAGGGACCAATGGTAAGGAGGGATGAATGGGGAAAACAAAGAAACAAAGACAGTTGGAGTTGTGTTGTTGGTGGTGTCAGGGAGAGTAGATTTAAGTGTTTGTACATGTGTCTCTGTGTATCTTATAATTTAAAATGTTGTTGCTGCCAAGATCTGTGTGTAAAGGAAGACAGCAGTTCAAATAGAGTATGAATGTCACAGCATTTCGTTTCTGGGAGTAACAAAAGTGTTAGTGCCCAATTCTTGGCCCCAGTGGTGAAATGATGGGATATCCAAAATACCAGATTTGTGTTGTGAGAAAAATACTTATTTTAGGGTTTATTTTGAAGTTACATTAATTTGAAGGGCACAAAACAACTCAGTTCACAGTGATATTATATGATGGGGTGGGGGGGAGGGCTATCCAGATCAAAAACTAAAGCAGCTTGAAATGGGAAGTGCAGGAAGTGAGATGAAAAGGAAAAGTAATTTGGGAACAGGGCAGTGGTTTTGAATACAATGAATTGAGGCAATGTCTGTTTGAACAGCACTGTGCACAACCAAGAGGAACCAATTCAAAAACATTGTCTGCATCTCGGATACAAATGTATAACATTGTTTTGTTGACGCTCATAATGTTCAAACAGGCAGTGCCCTTGTTACAGAAAGGACATAGTGGGGGATACTTACACTAGGAACAACCCCAAGAACAACCACCACCTCACATCCAGGTAATACTGAGCCTATTGTGCTTCCTCTAGCACATGAATACACCTCCAGCAATGTAAATATGAAAAGAAAAACTGACACTTTTCCACTGGTGCTCTGTGTCTATATTACTAGGATCAGTAACTCCAATCGTTTTGTCTGCCAAAACCTACAAATACAAACTATTGAAACCTGTCAGATAACTTCAAACTCATATCACAACATTTGAATTATATTAAATTCTGTATCAATGTAACAACACAATTTAAAGTGATACTTGATTTTTCAAAGACACTATTCCTCACTATTTCTCTCATGCAATTCAATTTATTTAAAGTTAGAATTCACCTCTGTGCTCTACTGGCAGTATGTCAGTCTTAAAAACAGTCTGTCAGAGCCCAAGAGCCTAAAGTCTTAGTAATGTACACATTGTGTCAAACATTTATATGACATCACAGCCCCAGGTCTTAGTCCTGAGGCATTTGGGCTTTCATCTCGAACAGGTCCTTGTCTTGGTTATAGGATATAATTTGTTACATCACAAAATAGAAATTCTATCCACAGTTCTTCTTTGACTGAACAAGAGCTACTAATTTCAACTTTCAACAAAGTTCTTGTTTGAGTCACTTTTTATCATGAAATTTCTGCAGTAGTATAGCTGCCTGCCCACTCAGAGTTGATTTATTATTAGCATCCCCCAGAAGTAAAAGTTATTATTGTATGTCAGTATCTAACTCCATGGAACACACATCAAACTATCAGGAAAGCCCAGCACTGTTGGACATTTCCAGGTCTTACCTTAACACCACTGCTGTCGCCTTCTCAAACTCAAATACTAGATTTCAGTCACATGCAAATTAGTCTTTGACATGTGCATAGACCATCACACATGCATTATTAAGTTTATATCATTTCCAATTACAAAACAGAAGGAAAAAATATATAAAGGAGAAGTACAATAGGAGTAGTGTGAGGAGGAAGCACTGCTAAAGACTCTACCTGTGTCTACACCTGGGACACGACTGGTGTTGAACATACGTTCGTATTGGGCTGAGCACATGGGAATAGTGTGTAGGAGCATGAGCTGAAAAGCAAAAGGGGAGAGTCAAACACAAAGATGACAAACTAATTCACTAAAATCCCAAGAGAGCAGCAGCAGACACACACATACAGGGACAGGAGCATGGATGAAGTGGAGAGGGAGCAATGAGGATTGGTTTGATAAGCAGTCTTAAGGAGCAAGAGAGACCCCAGAAGGCTGCCAGAGAAGGAGACATGAGCAGGGTCCAGAAACCAGTGGTCTGCCAGCTCAATGCCACCAGCAAAACCCTGATGTAACAGTGGGATTTGAACTAAAATGTAACTATTTTCAGGATATTTCACTAAATTAATTTGAATACTTATATCAATGAAAGCCAATGAAAGGTAGAATTCTTCAGGGTTGTGCTGCTGAGAATGAGTCTAGTAGTCAGGGTTTCCAATGGCTATTGCCATAGAAGTGGCTAGAGTCACAAGGTAGGGGGTCAGAGGGCACGGCGGAGATGTGCCCTCCTCTTACCTGTCTCCAAACCAGGGATGCGGGTGGTGTTAAACATCCGCTCCCACTGAGCCGAACACAGAGGAACCTTGTTCGCCAGCAAGTAAAGCTAACGCAGCGTCCGACACAGCGAAGGGACAAAACAGTAACAAGAGACAACCGAATGTAAGTGTGCAATAGAGGGAGCTCATGCATTGGTGTTTGCATATATGTATACAGTCAGAGGTCAGTGTGTGTTTACACAACATGTTGTAGGGTGTGTACCAGTATTGTGCAAAGGTAAAAAAGTTTAGATAATTTACACTTAAGCATCATGCAGACTGGTAAAGGAAAAGGACTGACAAGAGCTGCAGGGAAATCACGAGTATTCATTAAGCCTTATTCACTAAGCTTCACTCAGAAAATGCTTGTGAGCTCGTGATCACAGCTGTACTTTGATCAAAACAAGCAAGAAGCACAGTGCAGGGCTCATTCAAAAGTTAGAGTTAGACACATTGAGCTGTGGGCAACAACAATTGTCTGCCTCATCACAGGTGAGATTGTGGATGACAAACTTACTTTAAGCACACAAGAACAGGTTGTGAAAGATAAGCAGCTGTTAAAGTAAACTTAAAAGACAAACACACTGTGATAATAGCTAAAAATCAATAAATGATTAACGAGTTAAACATTTACATAGGATTGATATGATCAAACATGCACTAATGTATTTTTGTATCACAGCTTGAACAAAGTTTATAGATTAACCTGGGTTTAACAAAAGTATTTAAGAGGTGAGGAAAAGAAGAGCTCTGTACTCACTGGTTTGATCTGGGCTCTGTCAAGTTTTCTCCTGTAGAGCATGATGGCATGGATGGCATTACCTGCCCTGGCAGCCTGGATGGAGGTGGGGAACACGTACAGGAAATCCTGGAGAAAAGGAGCTTATTATTAATAAATCATCAGTCACATTTCATCCCACATGTTACACTGTCCTTAAAAACACATCAGCATAAGTAATGACTTGTAAATGACAACAGAAGAACAGTGTGAACACATTGTTACTGAGTGATCTATCCATAGATTCTTTGTTATTTAGGTCAAGTACTGTATACAATTATACAGAAGCTACCATGACCTGCTATTTCAAACTTGCTGAGTGCTCTTCCACTGACCCCCATACCAAGTCTGCCTTCTTTGACAGATGTGTGACTGTGATATGAGATGTAGTTTTAACATGCTGCAAAACAGACATTTTGATTGTGGTGATTGCTCGATTAAGCAATGATTCATATCTGCACTGCTGCAGTAACAGTCCAGTTTACAGTCTCACCCATTCAGGCAGAAACCTGTAGAGGGAGCTGTGGGTTTTCCTGTTACATGCACTGTTAAGTTCACTGGGTCCATAGATTTGGAGAAACCTGTCTACTCAGTAAAGACACATTGTAATGCAGCTTTGTCAGCCAAGATGCTGAAAACTCTAAGACTATGGTTGTAAAGCTGCATAATGTCCCCTGAGACACTAGCATAGTGTATATTTCTACACACAGACACACAAGGTTTATACCACTAAGAGTGCATCCTTTCCTTACATAGAAAAACATTTACTATCAATGTGCGCACAGTTATCACATATGAGATAGTGGTACTCCATAAAACTTAATATCCAAGGGCTTTTTTAACAAATTCTCTATATTACTAAATGAATGCAAGATAATGTATTCAGTCACATCAAAGATTCAATTTTTCAGGTTTCAAGTTCAGGTAAAGTAAGAAGCTACAACTGTACTTCCAAGATACAGATACAGTTATTTTTCAATATTTACTCATACAATTTGTAGCTCTGTCTAAGTTTGGTGTTTGGTACAGCTGTCATTTGACTTAAAGCTGTAATTTAAGTGCTCATGTTACTACACATCACCAACAGTGTGGTATGTCAAACAGATGCCAGTTTAAACATGGTGGTGCGTGGAGGTGACAGGTCACTCAGTTGGTCACTCAGAAAAATTTATGGAGGTGACAGGTCACTCAGTTGGTCATTAAAAGGAGAAAATAGCCATTGTATATAACTCTCAATTAAAAGTTTTACATCACAGTGCTGAAAAAGGGTCACACTCACACAACTATATCAAAAGCACTTGGAATTTACTCTGGAAAAAAAACCACCAAACACACACCTTCAGAGAATCAATCACAACCTACATGAAGAAGCTTATTGCTTCATCTTCAAACAAAAGGCTGTGCCATTGCCTGCAAACAGACACTCAGGTACGGATATCTTACCATGGCATAATAGTTGCTGTTGACCATGATGGGCCCACGGCCTCTGAGGTAAATATACTCTTCCCACCAGTCACTGACCTGTGCAACACAAAGAGAGGGAGGGGAGGAAGAAACAGAGGGTGACATTATTAGACACACTGCTTATACTGACAGTTTGATGCATAATCAAGACCCAGGACAGGGAAACTGTATCAAAAGGGTGGAGAAGAGGGAAAGGGAGTGGAATTCTTTTTGACTCACGTAGTTGGAGGCCCACCACGACTTGAGTTTGAGGTACCACTGCAACCTAGGTCCCAGGTTCTTCTCAAAGTCTTTAGTCAAGCCCTTCATCCTTTCATACTGCTCATCATCCATCAGTGGGCGCACAGAATCCAGGTACTGTTAACACGGAGAGAAGAAAAGTAACAAAGAGTGAAGCCAAGGGTGACGAGTTTTAAACAAGGAAAGGCGAGATAGGCCAGAAAAACTAGTCATCTACTCTTTCTCCCCTGACAGATAATGACAGGCAGCCAGAGGTTTGTTTAGTGGCTCTGCCTTGGGGGACACAGTCAAAGGATAAAGAAAATGACCCAAGGAAAAGTGAACTGACACAAATCAAAACCTACACTGATTTTTGTTTGAACGTGTTATTCACATTGCCAGATTTGAAAATCTTCCTGGAGTCTTAGGAATCTACAGAGATGTGACTAGATATTTCATTGTTTCAAGTAAGTACTTCCTCACTGCTCAAAGAGAGCCCTTTGTTGAATGACAGAGATAAGCATTTACAAGCAGTTCAATAGTAAATGAAATGGACTGCACTTATACGGCGCTTTTCTAGTCTTATCGACCACTCAAAGCACTTTACAATACTTGCCACATACACCCATACAATAATTTAACAGCCATCAGAGGCAATTTGGTATTAAATGGCTTTTTATTTCAATTGGTTATTAGAACAAAAGAATAGAGAATGATAAGTCTTCTCAATTTTTTTTTAAAATGGAAAGTTTTGTTGTAGTTTGACAGCTAGGACCATTATGAACAATCAGACAGGAGGTGACATGACAGATGGAAATTACCCTTCTGCAGGTGTCCTTGACAGAGGGAACAGGTAGCCGCGGCAGGGAGTTCTGGAAACTGTAGAGCATTGGCTTCCTGCCAGAGAACACCTTCACTAATAACTGGACAAGAAGAACAGATAAGGGACAGGAGAGAGGGCAAAGGAAGGTAAAGAAAAGTGTGTGTCTCTCTTGGAAACCTGCAGGGTATGAGCCAAAGGTCAAATACGTCGTAACCAGTGGGTTAAACTATAAGGACCAAAGTAGCAATCATGGCATGTCATACACCTTACATAAGGTGTAACTGGGTATTGTTAACCTACATCAAGAGGAAATTAATGTCTTGAAGCAATGCATGGTGGACATCACTCCAAATCATTTCACAAGTGAAACAAATGCACAAGTGTATAATAATGTACAGAGTTTATACAAATGTAATATAAATATTGTAGCCATGAGTTCAATAAATGTTTGTTTCAATGCTTGCCTCTCATACATCTGGGTCTAACAATTCATGACAATGTCTTCCATACGCAGGGACAGAAAAAAAATTTAGTTAAATTTAATAAAGTAATTTGAACAGAGGAGCGCATTCATTGGCTCACCATCCACAGACGAGTAGACCAGGACACAGAGCCATGGCGTGCATACATCCAGCCATGCCACGACAACAGGCACTTTAGGACATTCCTCATTATCATGATTATGGTGACCCACAGGCCCGTGCCCACCAACACTCCTCCAACTATCCTCTGGCTGTCTGTGGACATATATCGGCTGTGGACAGAGAAGGGGAAACAAAGAGGGTGAGACAATCTGTAGCAAATCAAGCGTTTCTTATTTAACTGCACAGTGGAACCATATAAAGTATGAGAGATTATTCTTTCCTGCTTAAGAATCAAGCTGTTATAATGAGCAGGACTTAAAAGTGGGTCTGTAAAGAATTAATTACTATTGTAGCAAATTAATTTTCTATCTTAGATGGAAAGAAGAACAATTAGATGATATGGTGGCTATATTAAGGTAATAACACCGGCTATTTAACTTTCAAGTCTGACCAATTGAGCAATCCAAAAGACTGTGAGCTACAACAAAACAACAGCAACACTGGACAATAAATCTCATGTAGCAGTTGCCAGACTTAGCTCAGTCCAAAGTCAACAAAGTCACATTAAACCATGACTGATAAACAATGCATATCATTTATCTTGATAGGACTAAAATACACACACACACACACACACACACACACACACACACACACACACACACACTCACACACACACACACACACACACACACACTAATAATAACATAATAATAAATATATAATACTACACGTTTATTACTCAGTGTAGCCAGTGTCATTGATGATACATTTGAGAAAATGAAAAAATAAGCTTTAATCTGTTATTTTAGTGTTTGAAACAACATAACACCAACAGGTGGTCTCACTTAACACATATGTACTTGTGAAAGATTTTAGATATTTCTGAGAATACCAACCTTAACAACACTGTCATAAATAACGTCCTTCATTTGAGGGAAAATCCCCAGCATTGTTGATAAGAGAGGCATTAAAGTTTTATATGGACAGGAAATGTTTGCACAATAACTAAACAAGATCAATATTGTTAGCAAACATGAAGATGAGGTGTGGTGGACAGAACGAAGAACAAATTGTGATTTTGGAATGAGATCAATACTTTCACTTTACAGCCTGTAACTAAACCAAGAGCTGTTACTGATGGAGGTGCTGGAGAAACATGCCTACACGTTTTCTCGTAAATACCTGAGGCATGTGCTTAATTGCATAGATGTAGTAAAAAGAAATTCCAGTGTCATTGCTTCTGAAGATGTGGCACTTTCACGTTGGATCTTTTATCACAGTTTCTTCCATATCTATTATCTTTTCTAGCTTAACTCATACTACAGAATCTAGCCAATCAATATTTCATATTGCTCCATATTGTAGCTCCAATATAGTTATTATATGCTCCATATTGCCAGTAATGGAAAAACACCTCAAAACAAAGACCATGTCATGCTAGGAAACACGTCAAGATACCAGTGGCCTTACCTAATAGGTATGTGTTGGCCCAGCTTGGCAATCAACCCCAGAGAAGGATCCAGTTGATTATATTTATTGTAGGACATGTAGGACACAACCACTACCATGAACCCAGCAGGGCTGCCCGGGTACACACCAGTCATTACCCCATTCTGTGGAGAGTCAACCAAACGGAGGGTTACAAAGGTCATCAAGGTCAGAGAGAGCAAAGAATATATTTGCCTGTAATTTATAAAAATCACCCACTTCATAACATTTCATACTATAGTGTTCTCCTGTTAATAAATGTGATCTATCATTAATTACCGACATCTAAACAAAGGATGGAAGATGAATGTGTGAAAATGCTAGAAGGCTTTGGATTTGAATGACTCAATATGACTGTGTGTAAAGAGACATCTAGGCCAAAGGTTAGGACACAAAGAACAGACAGGAAGGTTACCGTCACTGCTGGCTGTTTGTGTGAGAGTGGGTGACCTTCTAGTGTGATTGAGTTAATGTAGCCTAGCAAACAGACTTACAGCAGGACAGCAATCAGTAAATAAAAACATAGTGCTGCTGGGGCCCCTTATGATGCTGCTTATTAACTGAATATTTACTGAGAAGAGAAATAAACAGAAGCAGAGTCACAGCAACTCAGTCAAAGATAAACAAAATTTCCCCTGTACATAAACCCTCTGGACTTTGTTCTCCCATACTTCAAACACCTCTCACCTTGAAGCGAATGAACCTTTTCTTCCAGGAGTGGAGGCCAGAGAGGTAGATCTGGCGTAGAGCCTCATGGCACAGCTGTAGGTCGATGCCATCAGGGGTGACGGTGAACTGAAAGGCCACCGCCTGGTGAGCTTCTGCCATGGTGGCTACTACTGCACAGGGTCACTGAGTGAGAGGAAAGTGCAAGATAGTTAAGTTACTTAAATGGAAGATTGAAGACAGTTTATATCAAAGATAAAAGGTGTATGTCAAAAACACATTTAATAACTGTTCCTAAAATCTTTTCTCACTTTATGTTCACGCTCATCATTTCCCTCTCGTACATTCGTCACAAAGTTGTGGTCACATTGGTACTGACCTCAAGAATGACCAGCTCACCAGAAAAACAATGTACAATCAACACATCCTGATACATGGATGAAGCTGTAAATAATTGTTATAAGGAAATGATCAGAACAATCTTTCACGCTGACCAATTCCTGTCAGAGTTCCTTGTAATCAGTACTCCTTATTCCTCGACAACACTGCAGGTTACCTGATTTCCAAGATTTAATCAGTTTAAGCTCTTTGTAAGGTAATGGCCACTGAGTGGGAAATGATTCTTACTTGGTTTGAAAGCAATACTGGGATAGAGTTAAAGCTGAGTAGGATGGATACTTACTCAGAAGCACAGTATATGAGTTCAGAGACACAATTACTACAGCACTAAAACTTGGAAAAATGATGTGCTTGATGAGCAGCTCTTTTGAGTTACTATGATCAACATTGACCTTTTTAGAAGAGTCTCCTTTATTGGTTATTGTGGCTCAAAACAGGCCTAAAGACTACATGTTTGATTTTCTGTATCATTGGACACTTTTTCTGCTATTGGTCTTGTTTGCCACTTAACTCGGTGTTGATTCTGTGTAACACCTCAATTGTGTTGTCAGTGAAGACCAGTCAAGCGCATAACTGTAGCACAATGATTTCACTATGTCTCAGACAACTATCTACTGTGTGTCCTTTTTAAAAAGCTATCATGTGAGATAGCATTGAAACTTATTTATAAAAAATAAGATCAGATACCTTAAGTACAAAAAATAACCAAAGCACCAAACTGACAACATTTCTGCTGTTTTCCTGTGTCAAGCAAGCTTAGTAATAGTGATTATTAACCAACATTTAACGTTCACAAAAAGCTGCAAGTCTTTTTTTGGGGGGTGGGGGGGTGGGGTAATATTGTGAATAAAGGCATATCCTGCATAAACCAGCTTTATGTGCATGTTTTGTATTCAGTTACTATATCAACTAAGCTGGTTCCTGCAAGCTGACACCAAAGGAGATGCACTGGGAGGTGACTGTTGTGCCACTGTTACCCATCTCTGAACTGGTTAGGCAGGTGTGGCATCTTATCTTTTACTACAAGGGAACTAACATTATGCAAACTATAACTAGAGGCTCTTTTTATCTTGAATTTATAAACCTTAAGTGAGCTATTACATGTTTAAACAATGTTATGGTGACATTTTTTAAATTTGATATTGGAAGGGACATAAAAGAAAACAAGAGAGTGGAGATAAAGGAAAGCCCAGTGGGAACTGAGTTTAACCAAGCAGAGACAGCATGACCATGCTTATTCTTTATACTGATATCTATCCCCCTCCTTCAGTAGTGGAAGACTTCTTAATAAAAAAGACTTCTCAATGGAGGGTGCTCAAAAGGGACTTAAGGGACTAAAGCTTGGATTTTGGTAAGTGGGTCTTGTCAGTGCTTACCTTAACCAGCATCTAAGACTGCAGATTTCTTGTCTGTCTTATATTCAGTAGGCAATAAATACTGTTAGTTAATATTAAGATATGATTGGTATTTCTTTTGTATTAACAGGTTGTGCAGATGGGGCTCAGTAGAATTGCTTAGGTCTTGGCTATATATGTAAGACACTTAAGATTTAATTAGGCTATTTCTTATGCACCAATAAATTAAATCCATTAAATATACTGTGCCACTTTAGATGATATTGTGGCAGGTTGCAAACAACAATAATATTTCTATGCTGATCCTTTTTGATTTATTACAAACTGAAAGCTGTATGATGAAACTGTGGATGTGGCGTTGAGAGGCAATACCATTTTCGAGTTGCCTTCAATTGCTGTCGGAAATATAAATGCATATACAACATATTCTTTTATAACATAAGAATAAACGGTCTAAAACGACAGGTAAAGTCTTGCACTGACCGCTGATTATATGCGTTCTCAGGGTTACGTTAATGTATGGTATTTCATGCTAAGGCTTGGTGGTATTAGGTTTTCCTGGCTACAACGTTTACCTCATTTCTCCTGCAAACCTCTGCTACGTTTCTAGGAGGCAATGCTTTCTTTTCATGGTTATTTCATTCAGTTAAAACACTCTGAAAGCAGGACACGTCGTTTCTACCTTTTCAGTCCTCAGAAGGAGCAGCATCCACAGATCGGTGTTTCAGCAGCCAGTCCCTTCCCCCAGCTACTTTCCAACATCACATGATCTACCCTGTGCTGCAGAAACTAGGGGAAAGGTCGCAGCGCTCCGCCGCTTAGATACCGTGTAAAACTGGCAACGTAGTGTACTCACAAATCCTCCTATGCCAGAAACTATAACACATTGTGGTTACAACAAAGCCACGCAAAACACAGCTTTTGTCTTGGACATTGTATAATCGGCGTTTGTCCAATTTCTATATTTCAAAGCAGATGCAAAACGCTGTCTAGCGTTAATTAATAATCACGGCAACCCCCCTGTTGTGTATCTGCACTGACTCAGACCGCAAACGCCACATCATCCATCTCATTAAACTTTCTTACAGTTGTCATTACTAAACACCTCAACATAATGCACAACATCACTACCAACAAATACCCCCGGCAAAAAGTAGGTTACATTTGTCTGCTACTATATCAAGTATCCCGCCCACGTGGTCTGTGTGAAATTATGTCAGTAGTGTGCACCCCCCACTGTTGTCAATAAACTATATTGTATTTATTTATCAAAATAACCAGGGTTCTCAGCCACATGTAATTAAACAGCGTGTTAATTCTACCTCTATAAAAGCTCTTACAAAAAGGACACCATGACAGACCAGCTTTTACTGACCTTCACTGGCAGGTGACATTTGCAGACATATATACCTTTACTAAATTTCTCTTTTGCTACTATTACACATCACAGGCCACTGCCGGGCACAGACACACTATACTGTATTATTACTTACTAATAGAAGTGCCTGTATATTACCAGGTGATTGTCAATGAATGACCTTTACTTGGACTTTTACCTACATTCGTCTTATGAACATGAAGACCACCTGGGTCGTACAACATGCTATCTAAATACAAAACTGTTAAGTCATAATGAAATGTTTCACGCAGATATTCAGGGGGCCTCTTCAACATATATTTTCACAATTTGCTTTTAAAAATTAGGAGAACAGCTGTGAGTGCAATGGGCTAAGATTTAGGTCTCATTTTCACAAGTCAAAGATTTGTCTGTAAACTTGATTTCTGACTGTTACGGGCCAAATAAGCTCACAATCCGCCCAGTTGAGTCAAAGCGGAGCTAAGAAAATCTCCTGTACGTCATGTAAACACCCCACAGCTCTACGCACTGCGCCGACAAGGAAATGCAACATACTGACATTTACGTCAACTGCATAGAAATAACAAAAGCTTTCACAGGGCTCTGTTTAACTTGTCGATGTCTTCTTTTTCCCCCAAAAGCCCTGCAGCCATATTTACACGGCTACTTCGAAAACTGCAGAGAGCGTCAAAACCGACTGACACACAGTGAAAAGGGAGATTTTTTTACTCACCGGCCCTTTCTATTAGTCTGAGAGAGCTGAGCTTCGTGTTTTGACGTGGAAGTAGCACGGTTTAGCTGTCGGCGAAGACTGCTATATACTCTGCATGAATGGGAGCACAGACTTGTATACACCGCCACACCGCCCGCCCCTTTTGGTACGTCACATTTCTTTCCTTTCACTGACCTACAAAACACGTCATGGTAGAAACAGTGCCCCCCTGAGGTCTCTTATGCTACAGTGCATTCAGAGGTATATCACATGTTCTTAAATTGCAGCCTTATGCTAAATTAAAAATTACTTCCCTCATCGATCGACACTCAATGGCCCATATTGACAAAGTGAAAACAGAATTTTAGATTTTATCTTTTTTTTTTCAAATTTATTAAAAAGTAAAAACTGAAATATCACATTGATATAAGTATTCAGACACTATGCTATGACACTTGAAATTCAGCTCAGGTGCCTCCCACTCCTCTTCATTATCTTTGAGATGTTTCTACACCTTGATTGGAGCACACCTGTGGTAAATTCAGTTGATTGAAAATGATTGGGAATGGCACACACCTGTTTATATATGGTCTCACAATGCATATCAGAGCAAAAACCAAGCCATGAAGTGGAAGGAGCTGCCTGCAGAGCTCAGAGACAGGATTGAGTTGAGGCAGAGATCTGGGAAAGGCTACAAAAAAATCCTGCTGCATTGAATGTTCCCAAGAGCACAGTGGCCTCTATTATTCTTAAATGGAACAAGTTTGGAACAACCAGGACTCTTCTGGCTGCCTGGCCAAACTGAGTAATCAGGGGAGAAGGGCCTTGGTAAGAGAGGTGACCAAGAACCCCATGGTGACTGGCTGAGCTCCAGAGATCCTGTGTAAAAACTTCCTCAAGGAAGTTTTCAAGCGTCATAGTAAAGGATTTGAATACTTCTGTCAATGTGATATTACAGTTTTTACTTTATTTAAATCTGCAAAAACTTCTATAATTCAGCTTTCACTTTGTCATTATGAGGTACTGAGTGTAAATTGATCAGGCAAAAAAAATTTTATGTCAGCATAAGATTGCAACATAACAAAATGTAAAAGAAATTAAGGGGTGTGAATATATTCCACCTGTATGTATAGTAAAGGTTATATGAGGACAGCAGATGAACCAATAGGAGGACATAATGCAGTAAATAGCATCATAGCATTTTTCAGGAACCAGTACACCATGTACTTAAGTTGTTCAGCTATACAGTGCATGTACACAATATTATGAACACCTGTACAATCAAATACAAAAAATAATTATGCAGTGAATGAAACCATCACAGCAGATTCAGTTGTGCGAAAGGTGAAATTCAGTTCTCACTGTCAGAGACAGGTTGTGGATGCAATAAAAGTACATGCAATGCAATATAATGGCCCTGGGAAAAAAACACTTTTCTGGAGCTTAAATGTTAAACACTTTTGAAACACAGCAACATGTTTCACAAATTTGATATTTTTGCAGGATGTGTACTGTACTATAATATTATTGTACAGGTGTTCATATGTGTGGGCACATTTAGCAACTGCCATAACAAACTGTCATTGTAAGAGCTTGGTCTAATTAGCCACAAGTGAAACAGGTGACCTTCTATTTATCTCGTTTTTCTTCAATGTCCAATCGAGACCTGCAGTCTAAACTGCAGGTGTTGTGGCTTGTCATAAGCAGAAAAACCACAGGTGTTCCTAATCAGATGAATGATTCTGTTCCTCTGATTCCATCAAGCAACCCAGCATGTACATTACCATGACAATTACTGTACCCCTTCCCCTGTAGCTGTGCCAAGTCCTACTAAGTCCTGACAGCAACGACCTTCACTGAGAGGGTTCTTGCTACCTCTAGGATCCCTCCTCTCTTTGGACAGGCCACTTAGGAGTTGCTCATAGCAAGTCACTAGTACCAGTACTGCCAAAAAAGACATAGCAATGCACAGCCAAACTTCAGGTACTGCTAATGGGAACTGAACTGGGGTTCCTGCAGTGGTCAGCAAGAACTGTGGTTCCATTGGAATGACCCTGGCCTGTGCTTCATAGACCTCTTTTTGATGTTTTTTTGTCGTGCCTTTAAGATTGGGACAGCCAACACCCTAATGGAGTATAACGAGTTTTGTGACCTCAGCAATCCCCCAGACCTGCTCCACTCAACATCAACCTCCAATCAACACCAACAACTGGAAATACCTGTGTGGTTGAGCTCTGTCAGCTACTAGTCCCCAGTATTTTGAAATGGTGATGATGTTGACAAGTCATAGCAGGGAAACCACAGGTGTAGTAATCAACATTAATATAGGCTGCATTCCTCTTAGGTGACCCAGTTTTTAGGTTTTGGTATTGCTCCTGCTCACTAGGTGGTCTGGCTACGAGAACACCCAAATGGAATGAAGCCATTGTTACTGTTGCTAGTTTCAACTAAGTTTTCTGCAATGATAAGTCGAATTATCTTTTGTGATAAAGGTCTATCTTTTTCACAGTGAACATTTGACCTGTCATGGACTTGTCATGGTAGGTAAAGCACAGATGTTACTAACACAATACTAAAAGTACATTCAGACGCAGGGGGCACTGCTGCACAATGCTGCAGATCATGGGTCATTCCCCAGTTGCACACAGGCAATGTTCCACTGACAAATTTGGATTCTGTATTAAAGTAAACTGTATTTTGTTGTGTGTGTGTTTTTTAACAGCAATGGTACTTAACAGTATGGCAATAAACCAGGTGTGGATGTTCCTGCTTTATAATAAACAGATTCTGTCACTCTACTTATTGCATACTTCTTGTGTTACATTTTACAATAACTGCATGACTTGGGTTCAATGGGACTTACGAGTGGAAACCACTATATCTTTAGTAAAAGACATCAACTGTGTGGGTTAAAGGATTCTACTCTTTATTAAGAGTGACAGATAGCAGCAATGTGAGGTGTTGTCAACAGACAACATTTGTGTGGTTTAACAGTACATTATTAAATACACCAAGCGGTCAGGAGTGCAACAATACATTTCTCCAGTTAGGATAAATTTTTCAACTGCCAATTGGCAAAAAAGCTGCGTTTCATTTTAAAGAATTTGAAGTAGTCATTTGCAGTTAAGGGTAGATTTTCAAGTTGTACTTATGATATCACAAAATTGTTTCCTATGATAATTGTTTAGAAATTCTGGATACTTTCAACTCTATGGTAGCCCCATATAGGACTAGAATAGCAGCTAAATGAGTTCGATGATGCTAGTGTAGCGATAGTGTTTTCTTGCCCCAAAAATGTTAACAATCTGAAAAGGAAAAATAAGACTCTGGGTTATGTGCTAATTGAGGCCATCGCCTGTGATGAAGGTCATAAGGAAACCTTGCTTTATTTTAAGAGCAATCTAAGCCAAACATTAGATATACAGCCTTTATACAGCCCAGTATCACATGTATGTCTAGAGTTTATCCAACAGGTGGCGCAAGATGACAATTTTTTTTGTCAAGGAGTTTATTAATTAATTAATTAATTAATTTGTTTGAAACCATTTAAAGTTTAACACTCGTAAATACCCAAGTAACATGAATGTGTCAAGCTAACATTACATTAACCGCTGTTGCCAACCACAATTCAACTCAGGTTGAGTTGGGGAGATTTCTGTTATCAACTAGCTAAACCTCGTCTTAAATATCTGTATAAAACAAGGGGGTATAAGTTAAATTCCTTCATTATTTGAATATATGCTGCGTAACTTTAAACACACAGTTAATTATGATGGCTTACCGTCCTTTAGGTCGATTCTTGCACATCAAATACGGAAACCCGCGTTCTGACTGTGTCTGCGAGGAGAGGCGCGCCTCCCACTGCTGCTCGTGCGCGTGCGTTGTACTGTCACTGGTGTTGCGCCTGCCAGACAGCTGCGACCAGCTCGCGGCATGTGGAGGTGGGCAGGGGGGGGTGAGTCCGTTTGACCAGCATCGATTTCAACGGAGCTAGTCGACAGTCAGAGACAAGCCTTCAGCACAGTGACACCGGCTCCCCTGGACAGCGAGGGGGAGAATGAAAATAGTGGATTTTGTTTATACTTGTCGGTACAGCGCAGCAGTAGAAGGGAAGTCACTCCAAACGGTAAGCAGCTACGACTGTTTGCTATTGAACTGTTAGCGTCTGTACTTCGGAATACTGTTTAGTCTTCACTCTCTTCACAGTTATTAGCGCTGGAAACGGTAGTATGTGGGTGGCCTCAAAAGACTTGTCGCCTGGGTCTTTATTATCTGGTCCTTTTATGTTTTTACAACTTGCCTAATTCTCTACAAACCACTACAGGAAACAATCCCCACTCATTCTAACGGCTACTCGCTCGCGTGCAGCTGTGGGGTGCGTTAAATTTTGCTCCCATACACATGTGATTTGTAGAGATGAACATTAAGGCTGGTTCGTTTTCTGGGAACCGATACAATTTAGTGTAAAGAGTAGATGGCTTGCCTAACAACCCCTTTGTGGTAAGGGCAGCGAATGAGCGCTTCTCTTGGGGAATTTCTGATTTTGCATCACTCTTCACGGGCTTTCCAACAGTTAAATGGCTTGTGAACCTATGGCAAGGATGGTTGAGAAATGTATCTATCTATCTATGTCGCCTTAATTTTCTGGCTATCTATTCCAGCATACACAGTATTTGTTTGCTGTTTGGTGTCTGTGTCTGCGTATGAAGCCAGATCTCAATCTGCCTCAGTCTATGGTTCAGTTCAGGAACCATACTTCTGAACGAGATATATAATGATATCTCGTTTAAGAAGTAAGCATAGTTCCTGTCAAGCAGGATTTTACCCTACATAACTCACTACACAGACCACAGATGCTCCAGCATCCAGAAGTAGGCCAGTAACTGGCCTGTATGTCATGTCATGCCATGCGTGGTCCCCTTTGGTGGGTTAACTGGGCGTCTCACTGGTTCATCTTTGGAGTGGGGGAGGTTGCAGACAGTCTGAGTCAAAGATCTCCAGCAGGATCCAGCTCTCATCCTCTGCCAGATGTCTGGTACTCATTGTTTTACTGTCATTTACCCCCTCATTGTGTTTTTGTTTTCAGTCTAATGTTGCAGATGCGCATGCTG